GGTCTTTCCTCGTGTCTACTGTGTTTTGTGGTCGCTCGCTACTAGTTGTGTCGGTTACGTTTGCTCACGGATTACGCAACTGACCAGTCGCGTTTTACGTGCATACACAAGACATGTTTTTATCAAGGCACAGAGTATTACGGGATAAACGAAGAACGCTGAACCTAGTTCAGTTCATTTCATACAACCTTTAACTATGTACTTTCATGCAGCGGTTTCGGTTGCTAATTAAACCGGAGTCTATAGTATATGGCAATGTCACACACATTTGTTGTTACCGATCCAATCGTATTTCTGTGCTATTGATCTCTGTACAATTTTATCCCATATTCAGGTGTACGGATTTGAACACATGTTTACGTTGGACAATCTGGACCGCGTTGGTCTATTGTACGACAGCTCCACTATCAGTTCTTCTGAGGGTTCCGTCCCGCGCGTTTCACTCGCACCAAGCTCGGTGAGCAAACAGAATTCAATCGTTACTCGAAGAACAGTGACTGCCGTGAGCAGTATGTTTGGTCGGACATTGAGACGAAGTCTACGTCTCGTGATCCCGCCATCCACAACTTCGGATCCGTCCGACACGGAACAGCAATTAGCACAGATCTACTCCAGCTATATCCCGCTGTCTGTTCGGTTGATTCAAGCCATGGTTGTTGGGTGGCCACCGAAACTCCCGGGCGGGATTGCCGGACAAATCTCGACCGCCAATTCAATTCCTACAGCCATAGCATTGGGGAAGCGCTTGGTTTCTAAACTCAGCACTGCTACTACTAATGGAGGTGGTGGCCCGGTCCGTGGTCAGTCTCCAGCCCCAGGAATTCCAATCGCTACCTCTGTGGGCGGCCCTGGTTCATCACAGGATGGGGGAAACTTTGTTCTCAGTCTCATGCCTGGTGTACACTTTGAAGAAACGCAATTTTCCGGTGAATATGTGGAATTTAACAAAAACAAAACATCCATGGACAAACGGAACAACAAAATGCAAGTGATTGTCGTGACTTTTATCGGTGGAGTGACCCATGCGGAAATTTCCGTGCTACGTAAATTGGCTGCGATCTACGGTATGTTGCTGGTCTACGTTTTTCAGAGCCCATTTACATTTTTGAGGTTGCAGTTTCTTTTGTTCGATGCTTCTAAAAATGATGTCCGTGTTAAAACAAACCAGTATGGCGAATGTTTGTGTGGGATGATCATTTTAGATGGGCGCTGGTGTGTGTATAACTTGTTGAAGCTTGAACGTAAAAACACGATCTTTGTTTCAAACACCTCTTTTCAACGTATTGTCATTGCACTCCTAATGTCCACCTGTCTACTTCTGCAATGAATTAGTGGGTGCTGGTGGCTCAGTGGCTTAGTCGCCGTCATCCGCGTGCTTTAAACCCTATGGTACGAGCTCTGCCACCCAACTTTGGTGGTAAACGGCTTTGCTGTAGTCTGGTTCAATGCCCATCACGACGAGACTGCACCTTGACGTGGTGTGAAGGCTTGCGTGAATCCATGACCCTGCGAGCTACACAGGATGACTTCTCACAGCCGTAGATCCAATCATGTCTGAAAGGTCAACGGGTAGAGGTCAGACGAAGCTCAGTCTCACAAGCCAGTTGCTTGGGCA